GCCTTTCGCTTGGCGCCTTTGGCTTGTGGCTGGGGCTTTGGCTTTCGGTGCTGTCTCTGCCAGCCAAATGCACTTACACATATCACAATTACTGGCATGAGCGCATACTTAGCGCTTACATTCATAAATTAGAGAGCAAAAATGGGATTTTACAAAACGTTAAGTACACGCCACACATATGCATGTGTGTATGAGCGTGTGTGTGTGTGTGTGGCAAGGCTTTGGCCTAAGAAAATCAGGAAACGGAAATATGCGACGCGGCGCTGTGAATCGAACATGAAGTACACCGAGCACAAGAACAAGCAAGACATGGGTTATATATCAATACGGAGCAACGTTTACCGCCTGGGTAGAGCTCTCTGTCGATGGGCGATGGATAGAGAGAGAGAGAGAGCGAGAGAGAGAGAGGGTTTGCTGCCAGCCGAAAAATATGGGCTGACATTTTTCGTTGTGGCCGCAAAAACCGCATTTATTCAAGTGTCAAATAAATTCATAGTTTTTCCGCAACAGCCACGCCCCCGCCTACACGACTGCCCGCCTGCACAGCTAAAGTGGGCGTCAACAGCAGTGGCGTCGGCCAACTAATTAAGTCAAATGGCGTGCAACTTGAGAGAGTTTGTGTGCCAAAAGAAAAAGGCTAGAAAAGCGGCTAAAAATCCAGCTAGCCCAAAAATTCGATTGCGACCGCCGCCGGAGAGTATGCGTTGGGTTTTGAAGCGCCGACTAAATGCATGCAAAATATTTTGGCAACTTATGCTAAGCACATTTAATTGCTTTTTAAGCGCACTTCGCCTGGCAGTTTCAGCTAATTAATGTTACTCATACGCCACGTAGCACTGTGCCCGTTAATAACCTTTAAAGGCGCGCTCAGCTGACTGCAGCTTAAGCAAACAGATAAAATACTAGCAGCCTCCAAGCCCCACTTATCTCAATACAAATACACACACACACACACACACATAGACATGGACATGCATATGCCAAGATAAAAGCACTTGCCAAAATATCAGTGGAACTGGCGCAGTCATTGTCAAAAAAAAAAAACAAAAAAAGCGAGTCAAACAATTTGAATTATGTTTTGCAATTTGTACATCCGTTTCTGCCTTGAAATCGCCCACACATATAAATACAAACACACTCTACACTATATCCTGTAGCTGCCTTGACTCCAGCCACACTTGTCTCTACTTCTTATTGTATATATGAGGGAAATTATTGTTTGCTTTGTTGCCTTTGCCGCTGGCTGCCTTTATTATGGTATATATATATGAGCTATATGCGCGAGCATTTCCTGGCAATGCTCATTTTTATAACATTTTATTGTGGTTATTATTGCATTTACTGAGAAAAATAGAGAAGAACGAATTCATATCAATGTTCCCTAAAAAGAATTCACTTTAAAAGCAATATAAATAATATATATTTTTGTGTTTTCATTATTGCTTCTGTAAATAAATTAGTTTGTAAACACTCTGGCTAAAAATTGTCAATTAATTCTAGGTATTCCAACCATAGATATATCATCAATTATCATACAATTGTGTTTACGTTTTTAAGAACACATATTAATATAAAATTGCAGCCAAAAAAAAAAAAAAGAAGAGACTACCTACTCCCTTCTCCTCCTCTATTCTCCCTTTGCTCATCTTGCCAAATGTTGTAAATTAATTGCTTTAGCATTTTTAGCGCTCTAATCTCTGACATATCGTTAAAGCGCATTTGGCATTGTTGACTGGGTTACTTAAGGATGTTTATGTCATCCACTGAATTTTAAGTACTCCAAAAGAGGCTGACAATCTGATGCAGCAAAAAAAGGAACAAAAAGAAAGGGAGAGCAAAAAATAATAAAAGAGTTCTCAAGTGAATTCGTGATGCGACAGGCAAAACAGGAGTTAGTTGGATTCCCGAACTGGTCGACTAGGCAATATCCTGTGTTTCACGCAAAACATATTCAAGCCAAGTTATCGTAAAAATCTTTTATTACAGATATTAAGCAAGCTCGACAGAAAAGATTTGCCATTTGTTTATATTAAAACTGATTATTAGCCGTAATATCACTTGTACTACCTTTACACTCCACATGCAGGGTATTCCCACTTTGCCTGCTGGCAAGTGGGTGGCAATTCCTCGCCAGATTTCGTCCCGTAAATGGCGCATGAAAATTAGCAAGTTGTCTGTCTGTGGCTGCCATTATGCGGCACACTTTGAATGGCAGCCGCGAATTGAGTTCGTCTCTTCTACTTTTTTTTTTGGCAGTTTTTCTGATTGTCGAGTAGGCCAGGCCAGCGGCAGGGCCGGGTAAAGGCTTAAGCGTTTTATGTCCAGGTTAATTAGCAGTTTCTACGTTATCGTTGTCTATAAATGTCGCCAAAAACTTTGACCATAAAACTGCAATCAGCGGTAAGTTATGTGGCCAGAAGTCACAGAAAGGGCCAGAGCACATATGGTCAGGCTTCCCTCTGGCCTGGAGTGGGGGAGTGCGGAGCAGAGGAGAGAACGACACCTGTTAGACCTGCAGGCAGCAAACGAGAGTCGATACACAGTCGGAGTGAAGCTCATAAAAAATGACTAACAACGCGACAGGGCAGCAACAGCAAAGCGATTAGGACGACCCAGCAGGAAGAGCAGGAGAAGTTGGAGGAGGAGGAGCAGCAAGAGGAGTAGTCGAGGCAGCTGTAGCCTTTCGCCTCTGCAGCGCAAGTGTCGTTTTGAAAAATTCAAATCTCGTTGCCAATAAAAGCCAATAAAACTCGTAAAATAACTCAAACAAAAAAGTGCTGCTCCGGCTCCGGCTCTGGCTCTGGCTCCGGCTGCTGCGGCTGCTCGTTCAAGTGTTTTTTGTGTCGCAATGTTGCGGCTTGGCCATAACCCGAGCAACGGTAATGGAGCTATTGAAGAGCGTTGACTCCTGACACAAGCGTGTCCAAAGTGCAGCTGAGTGTGACTGTGAATGGGACTGTGTGAGTGTGAGTGTGAGTGTGAGTGTGAGTGTGAGTGCAGTTGTCATCTATTTAACTGCTGGCTGCCATTCGCTTCAAACTTCAGCTGCTGCGCAGAGAACTTCTATTTTTGTCCAACTCAGCAAGCGCGTGCCGTAAATAGCATAGGTAATGAATATAGCTGGCGTCTACACCTGTTTCAAACATGTCGCCAGCAAATGGGGCACTGCCTCAACTGAACTCTGAGTGGCTAAGGCCAGGGCGATTGGCAAAGTACGAAGAGTGGTTCAGTTCTATATCTCCCATGTATATATAGAGTACAACAAAAGAGATTTCACACTTTTAAAATGCCTAACTCAACTTTTAATAAAATAAATTTTACTACAGACAATAATCATGTAAATTTTCATTAGACTGAAGAAGAATTGAAAAACACTTTCTCATAAATCTGTCGATAATAGGATTTGCATTAATCAAGCGTTTTATGTGAGTCTATTTACCAGTTAGCTCGCTCGCTAGGCTTAGTTCAGTTGGCTCACACATCACTGCATTGTGAATGTCGTTGCTACTTGGTTCGACTTTCACAATTTGCATGGGCAACTGAAGTTTGCCCTGATTTTTCAATTTGCTGATCAATCAACAGCAGCAGCAGCAGCAACAACAACAATCGTTAGAGCGGAGCATTGCACACTGAATGCAAAATACTGTTTAGTTTTTCGCCATAAACAACGCATTCTGCATGCAGATGCAGCCGATGGCTGAAGCACTGGCCCAACCACCCGACAGTCGACCATCCCATGCTGGATTGGAGTCGGAGTCCAAGACGGCGAAATTAATATGCATGTGGCGTGTTGCGTGTTGCATACTGTGTTTTGCTTCTTCTTCTGCTTCTTCTATCAACGGGCATTCCTTGACGCATTGGCCGATATTTGAGTGGAGCTCCAGGAGAGTTGACTGGCGCTATCGCGATGCCGGCAGAGCGCGTCGACCGTCGCGTCTCGTCGCGTTGGCCGGCCCAAAAAATCGGCTGCCCTCTTGACAGGCCCGGCCAAGTGGGCGAAAGATG